TTACGAGTACAAGAAAGTGGCAAAGGAAAGGAAAAGGAACTTCCTGGTCCATCATCTGTCAATATGGTGGAAGAAGGGAAAAACCAGAAAGGAAAGAAACGGAAAAGAGATGACCACAAAAAAGGATACCACAAGAAACCAAGACTGGTATGTTGGAAATGTAACAAACCGAGTCACATGAAGCGTGATTGTCATGTAGGAAGAGGAAAGAATAAAGCAAGTACCTCTGGACAAGGATCTCAAGGTCAAGGTCCAAAACCTCATGAAGGTATGAACTTTAACAATGATACAAGTTCTGTTATATACTACGTACCATTAAGACCCGAGCCGTTGTACGTACAAGATGATAATTATGCATGGTGGATAGACTTGAGGGCGACGAGCCATGTATGTAAGGATCACCATTGGTTTAACAACTATAAAGTGGTAGAAGATGGTTGGGTGCTCTACATGGGAGACGATACAAGTACTCCGATTGTTGGTCGTGGTTCTGTGTCCTTAGTATTTAGTTCCGAAAATACTCTTAATCTTAGGAATGTAATACATGTTCCTAATATTAGGAAAAACTTAGTTTCTAGTGGTGTATTAAATAAATGTGGTTATAAGCAAGTTATTGAGTCGGATAAGTATATCTTATCCAAGTGTGGTACATTTGTGGGATAAGTTAGTGATACGTACTAAGTATTTAGTACGTAAAATACCCTTTTACTCTCTTTTAGATAGGTTATTTTGCTTTCATATCCCAAATATTGAGTCATTTTATCTCTTTTCTCTGTTTGTAAGCTAAGATAAATGAGGAACCTATGTTTTGTGGAAATTGACCTAAAATTGATCTCATTTTGGACAGATTGGAGCAGTTTGATGCTGTAGAAATGTGGTAGCATGAACTGACGTTTGACTGAAAGATGGAGGAGACTTGGGGAAGTGACATGACCCTTGGGAAGACTTTTTGAAAGCTTTCTAAAGCTGTATTCTGCTGTATTTTGAACTGATTAGTGATATGTAACAAGACTAATTTTAGTTAATTTCTAATTTGTAGTTTGATTTAAGTACTTTTCTAGTTAGTATGTAACTTGRAAGGGTGAAAAGACTATTTTGCCCCCATAAATCCTTAGTATAAATAGGGGTTGTTGGGAGGAGTTTAGGACACACCTCATCTTCCATTTTCTCCTACTTTTCTCTCAAGTAGTTCTCCCAACTACTTGGAGAA